AGGCTCTCGATTTACCAGTTGATCTAAGTCCCAATCCTCACCTATGGTCATGAGCTTTGGGTAATGACCGAAAGTACAAGATCCCGAATACAAGCAGCCAAAATGAGTTTCCTTCGTAGGGTGGCCGGGCTCAGCCTTAGAGATAAGGTGAGGAGCTCGGACATTCGTGAGGGACTCGGAGTAGAACAACTGCTCCTCTGGATTGAAAGGAGTCAGTTGAGGTGGTTTGGGCATCTGGTCAGGATGCCTCCTGGACACCTCCCTGCCGGCAGGAAACCCCCGGGTTGTCCCAGGACATGTAGGAGAGGTTACATCTCTAATCTGGTCCGGGAACGCCTTGGGGTCCTGCCGGAGGAACTGGTGGAGGTGGCTGGGGAGAGGACGGTCTGGAGCTCCCTAGTTGGGATGCTGCCCCCGCGACCCGGGCCTGGATAAGCGGAGGAAGACTACAACGACGACGACGATATATATGGATTGTATCCCACAAGCAAATGGCAACCTTAATGAAGCCGTAAGGAAAATAGCCACAGCCAAAAGCTAAAAAGGAGTAAGACCAGTTCTAAGATGTCAGCTCAATGGCAAGAACAAGATTTGGGCACGAAAAAGCTACACCCTGCCAGGAATCAGATATCCTGCAGGAATCATAAGCTGGCCAAAGGAAGAAATACAGACCACAGATGTTCCAACCCAAATCCAGCACCCTGAGACTGTACACTAGCTGCAAGGAAGGAGATTGTAGACTAGTAAGTGTTTGAGCCACTGTCCAGGATGAAACATCCAAGATCCATAAGTACATCAAGGATGAGGCCCTAACAGAGGATGTGCTCAGTGACTGTCTCAGACAATGTCGAATAGAGGAGGTGTAGCGACATGAATGGCCTCATTTGTGACCCAAAGGTCACACTTCCCCAGCTGGGTCACACTGTCCTGGCTGAACTTCTATCCACAGATTATCCATCACAGGAGACACAAAGTCTGCTGTAAACCATCTTTAATCTGCCTTTTATCTGTCTGCTGTTCCATCCCAAGATGAAGGACACTTCAAGATTTAAAAGAATCATTTTTAATAAACTCTTTTCACTGTACTATTACAAGGTTTATAAATAATCATCATGGTTCATTAAAAATATATTTAATTACTTAAATGAATTATTATTCTTTGGTTAATAATAATTATTTATGATAATCAGTAATGTTTAACAGTGACATAAGGTCATGTGCACTTATACACACCATGCAGGACACAGACATCAGGGTTAAAGGTAACTGCTCTCACATGTCTGTTACATAACAACAAGCTTTCTATCTCTGAGAGGGCGTGTCCTGAGGTTTGTTAAAACCTAAACTCCTCAGTTCAAGTTCAGTTTTCTTGAGCTCACCAAAAATCTCTCCGTGGCACGAGAGTCCCAGAGGATCGGGTCGGCCGCTCGAAGCCTCCACTAAGCTGTTCTGTCACGCTGAGAGAATTGCTCCAACAACGCCATCTGCAACCAGCTGACGTAAAACTCCTTCAGAGTTATTGATTTCTGAGACGCAACCAGTTTCATCAGTCGTTGTGACCCGGAGACATCTCTGGACCGATTTGGTCGCACTAAGGTTCTTCTACCCACCTCGTGCTTGAGGGCCATCATCTCCTCCTGACATCTCGGATCCAAAAGGGGGTCTCCTAACTGGGTGAGGTAGACACTTCCGAAAGATTGCATCTGAATGCCTCTTTTATTAAGAAATAATTTAGCTTAACTGCAAACCAAATTCTTTCATCCAGAACGCGTTTTTCTCTCTCTGATAGAAACCTTCTGAGATTCCATTCACGCATCCTGTCATGAGCCGGGGTGAGTACTCTTCTCATCATTCACCATCTCTGAGTGTTTTTGGTTGCAGGAGAGGGAGCGACAGCTGATCCTCGTCAGCTCATCAGCGGGGCGGCTTTATAAGGATGGTGAACATGACTCAACGCTAGATTATCACTGACTGGTAGCCTCTAGCCCTTCGTTTCTCACTCGTCTCTTGTCGTTTTGAACTCTTGTGAATGTTTTTGGAACCTCGATTAATATTAGGATTTTTGTCTGGATTACTCACCTTAGGTTGGCTTCATCTCTGGATTTCTACCCAACCCTGCAAGGATCTCTCACTGGTTCACTTCCTAGTTCACCATCACCCGCTCAGCCGACCCGCTCTCCACCACGTCTCCGCTCCCTCTCCAACTCCACTCTCTCATCTCAGAACAACAACTCTCACCTTCTCGGACCGCTCATATTCACTCCTGGACATTAACCCTGGTCATCCCTTCCCTAGCTCTCCTGAACTTCCGTACCGTAAGTTCCTCCTACAAACACCCCACCTTGGACTACAAATCCCAATACTCACCTCTGTTGCTTTCCCTCTAGACGCCGCTTCCTGTTTCCCCATCTGCTGGACTTCCAGTATGCCCTTAGTTGTCCGTTTTAATAAAGATCATTATTTTTTTCTTTAACTCATCTCCGTCTCCTGATTCTGCATGTCTTGGGTTAGACGTTTGCCCCAGAACATGATACATCCAAACACACACATTTCATTTTAGTTCTCATTCAGACACAGGGTTGCTTTTAATACCAAGTTTTAATATCAAAGTGTTATAAATTGTCCTTTATAAATTGTCTTTTAAATGGTCATCTTCAAATTGTTAGTAATAAATTCTTAACTTTTTAAACCTGACTCTTCTTTGAAATAAAACACAGCGTGGTATACACAGTGGGGCAAAAAAGTATTTAGTCAGCCACCGATTGTGCAAGTTCTCCCACTTAAAATGATGACAGAGGTCAGTAATTTACATCATAGGTACACTTCAACTGTGAGAGACAGAATGTGAAAAAAAATCCATGAATTCACATGGCAGGATTTTTAAAGATAGACGGACGGACGGACGGACGGACGGACGGACGGACAGACAGACAGACAGATAGATGATAGATAGATAGATAGAAAATTGTCATTGTACCAATGAGACATTGTACAACAAAATTTAGGTGCAAGTCTTTTAGTGCTACATAAAAAAATGTGACTATATAAATTCTACAACCATATAAAATTACAACTATACAAAAACTCCAACTATATAAAAACTACTATAAAAGAACTATGAACATATAAAAGCTACCATATAAAAACTACGAATATTTAAAATACGCACACACTCAACATGTTGTACAGAAGTACAACATGTTGAGTGTGTGTGTACCTTTGTTTATTTTTAGCTTTTCTTTGGCTTGTGCTGAGCTAAAGCTTAAAGCTGTAATGTGAACATGAAACTTTAAACCTGGTTTCTCTGTAAACATGAATGGTGCATTGGCTCACATCAGAAATACAATTTTGCAGTGTTCCGCACGGTCATCTCTGATGCATAAAAACTGTTTCTTAATCTGCTTGTTTTTGTCTTAATGGATCTAATACGCCTGCCTGAAGGCGTTCAAACAATACATGACCTGGGTGTGATGGGTCCTGAAGAATTCTCTTTGCATTCCTAAAGCCCGGATCACATTGAGTGCGTTTACATGCAGCCAGTAACCCTTTAAAAACCCGAATATTCACAATAACCCGGTTCCTTACGGCCATGTAAACACCGCCAAAAACCCGGATATGCTCGTAACCGGGTTTTTAAAAATTCGCTTACTACACCTGGGGTAACCCTTTTCTAACCGAATGTTTGGTCGTGTAAACGCATACCGGGATATCCCCATCAAAGTGTGTGTTCTGCTCATGCTCTGTTCGCAAGGAATCTTGGTCTTTTGAGTAGCGAGACGTCTTGTATGCGCCAGAACTCCGGAAGTAAACAACAAGTTGGGAGCAACATGGCGAGTCGCGGCACAGCACCACACTTTTGGAGTGACGAGGAAACCTCTGTCTTCATCGGTCTGGTGAAAAGTATGAACATTATGTCTTTTGTTGACGGCCGAAAGTAGAGACAGCGAAATATGAGGCATATTGCGTCTTGACGTAGTCCACACGTCCTGACGCTACCCCGACGTCCGCATTTAAATCGGGTTATGCAAGTTAGGGGTAACTCTTTCTATTCATGCTTGTAAACGGGTTATTCTGATCAACGCAGAAGTCCGAATACCGACCTTAACCCGATCATAACCCAGATATTGGCTGCATGTAAACGTAGTCAATGTGCGATCGTTGCCCGTCTTTGCCAAATCCGTCGTCCTGAGCAGAATTGTGACAAAAAAACGATCAACATCAGGGTGATTTGCATATATGAGCACCATGCTGTGAATGTACAGTGTGACCAGCTCTGTGACAAATCAGCCTCAAAAAGTCTTCAAGCACTGCTGGAAAACCTACAAATCCTGTCTGCAATCGACCAATGAAAACACATGTTTGGGACGCCACAGCAGCAAGACTCCGCATCTCTGAGTTTCGGTTTCAATTTATGTATATAAACTACACACAGGTTTTTATTCTGTTAATAGCCCAAGTTAAACAGGATTTATACTAAAAATAATTTGTAGACTATCAGCTGAATTGTGAAAACCGTGATTCTGTGATCTGTGAGAGGAGATTCAATTCAATTCAAGTTTATTTATAAAGCGCCAAATCACGACAAGAGTCGTCTCAAGGCACTTCACATAACAAACATTCCAATTCAGGTCAGTTCATTAAGCCAATCAGAAATAATGTTGAGATGTGCAGCAGTGGCGGCTGGTGAAAAATATTTTTGGTGGGGCTGTGCTATTTTTTTTTTTAAACAAACTTGTGCTTTCTGAGCTTTGTGCACAACTTCACTATTTCCTGAATTAAGCACAACTCTTTTATTTCCTGTCTTACATCATTGGACAAAGGGATTAATCCAGGTGTGTCTGACTATTGGCACGCTGCCTTGCAGACCAAGGTTGAAAAATACTGCATTAAATTGCACATAAAATAACACGACCATATATGGTCCACATCCACATTACTGTTTGTGAAACTAACATACTGGAGAATTTCATCACAATAAAATTAAATAAACAAGTACGTACCTGATCTTTTGCATGCTGTTGGTGAAGCTCTGGATGACCCCTGTGATGGAGACAGAGTCAGTGTTCCTCTTCTGCAGCTGGTTGAACAGCATGTCCACATGTGGCATGATCTTGTGACACAATGCCAGCAGAAAGCCGAAATCTTCTTCCTCCAGCATTCTCACAAAGCCTCCTGCCTCTCTCTCAGTGACTGGATCAAAGTCATCCGAGTCTCTGATCATCTGGAAACATCTGAGGAGGTCATCCTTGTGCTCATACACTGTGTTGACATCTCTCTCTTGGACAAAATGTGCCGGTTCTGATCCACTTCTTCATTGTGTTTCTTCACTGCAAGCCTGCGTCCCTCGTCTCTAGCTGCGTGGCCATGTTAGCTCTGCCTAGCATAGCTAGCTTCACCGTGTTGTCCATGTGTGCCCGGGATAACTCATGTTTCTTCACCTTCTCAGAAAAATGTTTCATGTCCGTAACTCCTGACTCAATCCATGCCTCATCTGTCCCAGTCGTTTGGAAAGCAAAATAACGCATTAGCGTGATTGCATCCAGCTAGCCAAGCCTTCCCAGAAGCCTCGTGTGTACAGTTTACCTCTCTCCTCCTCCTGCTGGCTTATCTTTACGTCGGGCTGATCTGGTCCAAGCTCCTTGACATTAAGTTTTTCCACCATAGTTCTCCTCTCGAACGGATACTGGAGAAGAGACCGAACTGAATTCAGTGGCTGCTGAGATCCGGTATCCATGCTGCTGCTGGTTGTAGGCACACTGGCGTCCATGTCTATTACGTCTGCGTCACGACCGTCACGAGTCACGGCCAAAAACGTGCTGGAGTCGAGACTCTCCGAGTTCTACTGAGCACTATCGAAAGCCTTTTGCGGTAGCTCTATCGCCCATCATGCTTCTGAAACAACGCCGACGCTGATTGGATACATTCCCATTCCTACCCTTTGATTTTCTTGTCAGCAATTGGACGACTGGTCTCGTCCCGTTTGGGTGATTGAAACACAGCCCACAGCCTCCACCGCTCGGCAGAGACCGGCAGAGACCAATATAGAAATATATATGTATGATTTATTTTTGTTACACAACACACAATTAACTTAGAATATGTGATTATTGTTAATTTTATTTATTTATTTTTTTAAATAAAAATTAAAAACACTGGGTAAACTGGGAGGGCGGCGCCCTATCGCCCTCTACTGGCCAGCCGCCACTGACGTGCAGACAAACATAAAATTAAAACACAAAAACATGAGATCCCTTTGATATTGGTGGAAATTGCACATATTCAGCCAATAAGGATGTTTCAGTAGCATTTTGTTGCAGAGAGAGGGTACTCTTCTTCGTGACAGCAGGTGTGAAGAGCTCACGGAGCAGAGCTGCGGAGTAAACAGTGAGACAGAATTCACGGCAAAAGTTTAGATATTGCAACGTTAGTGGGTTTTTATTTATTAAGGAGGGTAAGAAGGATGAATGTCCAACAGACAGTTCGGCTGTTTATCTGGAAGACGGGAAAAGGAGACACACAACCGAGTCTGAGGCCAAAACGGGGATTTTTAAAACAATGCTTCCTCATTTTATCTGCACCTTAAACACTTCCACCAGCGACATTCCATGCAAACACACACTTAGGGCCTTGGGAGAGAGCACATTCAATGGCATTTGGCAGGGGGATTTCTCAGCCTCATCCCAAGTGCCAGTGCCCACTTCCATTTTTAAAATGCACTTAGGCACCGAGGGCTGTGGGTGCAAGTGGGGTGGTGCGGTGGCATCAGCTGGCATAGGCCAGACGATGCCCGCACTGCCCACTCACCACAGCCATGGAATACACCTCATGAACACTCACTAACACCATATTGGAGCAGGCGGAGGGAGACTAGGGGTCTTAGCACACCTCTGTTGTTGCCTGGCTTCTTGGGGCTGGAGACTAGGAGGGAGATTCGGCCGTCTGGTTGGGGTCTGGGGTGGTGGGTTGCTGTGCTGAGCGTTGGGCGGGGGAGCCTGCTCATCAGCACCCCAGCAGAAAGGGTCAAACTCTGGTTACCGGTGATGGTTGTACCCAATGTGCAGCAGTACCGGGACCAGAGTGAATAGGGTGTGTATGGGGAGCATGAGTGGGTGTCCGGCGTGCATTTTTGTAAGTCTTTGGTTGTATGTGCATGTGTGAGCACGAGGGAGGGAGTGTGTGACTGTGTTTGTGTATGACTGTATGTGTCAGGTGGGGCCTTTGACTCCTCCCCTCTTCTGGGACTTCTTTTGATGATATAGATCTTCATGATATAGATCTTCATATATATATATATTAAAAAAATCAATGCTTCCTCTTTGAAGTAGATGAGCTGGGTCATGATCTGACGCTAAAAAGAAGAACGGCAATGCTTTATTTTATCTTTTCAGATTTGTCCTGGTTAGCGGTCTGCTGACGTATGCTTTCAGGAGGTGTGCTCATGACGTTATGTGTCCTGCAGGAACGAGACATCGTGCAGTCTGCCTTCTTGAAATCTTGCGCTGTACAGTGTGCCACCATTCTGGAATTCTCAGAGTGTGACATGAACAATCCTGTGCGAAGGCCAAAAATCGCACAGTGTGATCCAGGCATAAGACAACAGGAAGTGATGTGAAGTTCTTCAAGTGAGGGGAGGGAACAGCCGACGATCCTCTGAACAACCTTAATGACCCTGTGGTGCTCTTTTCTCTGTGCTACAGTGCAGCTGGAGAACCATGAGCAGAGACAGTAAACCATTGTGCTCTCTACTGTGCAATGGTAGAAGGACACTAACAGTGTTTCAGGGATGTTGTTGTTTGTAAGGACCCTCAGGAAGTAGTCTCTTTTGGGCCTTCTTCACCGCCTCTGCAGTGTGCCCCCCAGGTCAGGTCCTTGCTGATTGTGACTCCTAGGAAGCAGAAGTTTGAGACCCTCTCCACACAGTCCCCGTTGATGAAGAGTGGCTGGGATGTTATCTGCATTCTTCCTGAAGTCCACAATAAGCTCCTTGGTCTTGGCTGTATTGAGTGGCACGTTGTATTTCCTGCACCACACTGTCGGTCGCTCCACCTCATCTGTAGGCCGACTCATCTCCCCAGAGATGAGCCCTACAACGGTGGGATTGTCAGCAAACTTGACAATGGTGTTACTGCTATGGTCAGGAGTGTAGAGGGCATAGAGCAGGGGGCTCAGCACACAACCCTGTGGGGAGCCAGTGCTGAGGCTGATGGGTGTGGACGTAGGGTTGGGCATTGAGCATCGATTGGAACTTGGACCAACTGTTAGTTTTTTATTTCAGTTCCTAGTTTCGATTCCTAGAATGCCGACGGAAGAGGAATCCGCGGCCGATCTCAGTGAAAAATAAACGTGATCTGCAAATTGTGATCAACGCTTTTCAGAGCTGATCACACCAGCTGTCTGTGTGCAGCACGAGTCCCCCTCCCCCACCCAGATATAAACAAACGTGTCTGTCGAACTTTTTACTCCGTAACGTAAACGTTAACTCCTGCAGCGTAGAGGAAACGTGTTAAATACGTCAACACGGTGGATTTAATAGAAGCTTTAAAGAACAAACTCTGGATGGTGTGAGGTGAGTTTGTCTCACTGCAGAAATAAAAACACACACGGAGCGTCAGCAGTCAGACGCAGCCAGCTACGTTTAAGTTTCACTTCCTGTTGTGACTGAACGCTGCTGCAGCATGGAGGTGTGGTTCTCAGTCATCCTGGACATGATCATCCTGAGAGTTTTAGCTGGAAACAGCTGGACGTTTCTGGATATGTTGGAGACATTTAGCCTCTCATCCCAGAGGCTGCTTCCAGACTTTGGTTGTGGTCAGAAACAAACACACTGGTTGTGCTGCAAGTCGTCTTCTTTTTTCTCCAAAACATGTTTGTGTCTGAATGAAGGTGAAGTTGTTGTTCATAGAGTTAAAACTCATGTTGAAGTTAAGATTATTTCATCAAGTAGGACCTGTGGTTAGCTGGCTCATGTAAAGCATGTCAGGTCTTCAAAGAATCGGAATCGGGAATCGAAAGGAACCGGAATGGAAAAGAGGAATTGGAATCGTTCAAAATCAAACGATGCCCAACTCTGGTGTGGAGTAGTGGGGGCCCACTCTAACCCTCCTAGTGCAGTCACTGAGGAAGCCCTTGATCCAAAGGCAGGTGGATTGTGGAAGTCTCAGGTCAGCCAGTTTGGTCACCAGTGTGTGGGGAAGGATGGTGATGATGGTGAGCTGAAATCTATAAACAGCAGCCGCGCATAACTCCCCCGCTGCTCCAGGTGAAACAGAACATTGTGGAGAACAGTTGTCACAGTGGGGAAGATCCATGAGATGGCACACTGCTAAAACAAATTGGGAGTAATCTACAGTATGTTTACCATCCTTAAGGTTTAATGTGATTATTTTAGAACCTAAAAAATATTTTTTTCTAATAGGTTCGCAAATCTGTAAGTCAGATGAAGGTGGATGTTTTTTTAAGTAGATGTAGGAAATTCTTGTGTTTGTTTTAAAATTTCTAGGTCAAACAAGCTTTAATCAACGTTTTCTTTTGCAGCAGAGTGCGCTATATGGAAGGAAGTAAATTGTCTTGGTTTGATTTGCAAGAACAATAAGGTCAACTGGTCATCAGTTCACTGAACCACCATCAGCAGGTTGATAGAAGACTTGTGTTTTTGTGATCGTTATTGCATTCATTACAATCTTTATGATATTTTGGAAGACAATCAGCATGATCTTTTGGACTTGGCAGCTCTTTAAGTCATGTTATGGTAAATACAATGAATCCCTCTGAATTATGTTTCATAGTTCTATTACATATTTCATTTGTTGTTACAGGTTTTTGTTAGTAATTACTGTTTTTTTTTTTTTTGTTTTTGTGTTTTTTGGCGTTGTATTGATGTTTCAACAATTACTGTAACACCTCTGGTGGTGAAGGAGCCCGAGTTAGTCATGAGGTTGAGAGGTTCTGACTAGATATAGTCAGACTCACTTCGACGCATGGCTATGGCTCCAGAGCAAGGTTACTTGAGAGGGATTGGACACTCTACCACTCTGGAGTTGCCCCCACTGAGAGTTGTTGAGCAGGGGTGGGTATATGTTGCCCCCCCCCCACCTTGGTGCCTGTACGTTTGGATTTACCCCAGTGAATGAGAGGGTAGCCTCCCTCTGTCTACACTGGGGTGGGGGGTCCTGACTATGCTTTGTGCCTTTGCACCAAACTGCAGGTCGGACTACCCACCCTTTTTGGAGTCCTTGGAAGGGGTGCTGGAGAGCACCTGGAGTGGTGTGGTTGGGAGATATGCTTCCCCTGATCTGAATCAAGAGTAGTGTTTTGTTATTGGACTTACTCTGCTATTGAAACCGAAGCTCAGAGAGACAAAGTCTTGCTGCTGCTGTGTCCCAAATGTCTGTTTTTGTTGGTCGATTGCAGACAGTAGTCATAGGTTTTCATGTACACTGTGGGAGGCTGTCTTTGGTAGTGAGAAGGCTCAAAAAGCCGTTGCAGAGCCAGTCAGACTACACACTACAGATTTGCAATCGCCCTCACGTTCACCGTTTTTAACACAACTATGCTCTTGACAAGATGGATGTATATAGAGTGTGGGGCCACTGCTGGGGCGGACTCACTTCGTAGGCTGCTTTGGGAAGAGCCTCTGTGACTGTCTCCTCATTTTGATATTGCGATATTGAAATTAAACCCTTTGGATTGAATCATGGACTGCTTTCTCATTCTTTTATTAAGTCTCTAAAACAGGGGTGTCAATCATGCGGCCCGCGGTGCCCATGACGGATACAACAACAGCAGCTGATATTTTCACCGCACTCGTTGGAGTCCTGGACAGGGTCGGAGTGCAATGGTCACACGCTGTAAGCCTCGCTACAGATGGTGCGCCCTCGATGACTGGGAGAAAAAGCAGGTTTTAATTTTCCAGTCTGACTCACTTGGAACTAGATTTTCCTCAATGTG